GGGGGGAGGCTGTGAGCAGATGCAGTGCGTGTGTGGTGTGTGTGTGGGTGTGTATTTCACTGATGTATGCTGGGTGCGCGTGTACCCCGCCATGCCGATCCGCTGAACCTCTCAGCCCAGCCCCTCCCCCTTTGTACGTCATGCCACTCCGGACCGTCACCATGGAAACGCGACACCGCCGCCGATGTCAAAGACCCCATTTGGAGATGCGAGATTGGGCGACCCGCCGGCTCGCCGGAGCGCGCGTGCTTCCCTGCAGCCTGCGCTGCTGCACGCTAATGCGACAGGCAGGCGAGAAGGGGGGGGGGGTGGGGAGAACAGGCCTTTGGAGACCAGGGTAGGAATACAGTGGTGGCTGCTGGGAGCTCCACACTGACACCTAAGGAGAGGATACTCCTTCGGAGTAATGCCGGCAGGAGGCTCGGTCTGCTTTCTGTGGATAATTAACACTCGCATGCTGTAGTGGGGAAAGATGGAGAAGAGAGAGGAGACTCCCTTCTTTAGAGTAGAGGAGAGTGCTGTCCCTCTGTGGGCCAAGGAGTATTTGTGTAGAGAGCAGATTACAGTTCCTGTGTAAGACAGAGTAACGAGTGTCTCCGTGTAACGGAAAGCAGTGCTGTCCATGTGTAGGGCGGAGTAACGAGTGTCTCCGTGTAACGGAAAGCAGTGCTGTCCATGTGTAGGGCGGAGTAAGAAGTAACTCAGCATGACAAAAAACAGTACAGTCAAGCAGTAGTAGTATCTTTGCGCAGATATATAGAGAAGTACCCTGTCTATAGAGTTGTGTGTGCTGGTATGTGTTGTACTGTACAGTAGTATTTCTGTGCAGTGCTGTATGGCAGTATATCTGTTTTATTCTGAGTGGATGAAAGCGGCACTGCTGAAATCATCCTATGGATTCAGTCGCCAGCATGATCACTTTGGAGGTGTCAGGAATGTCCGCTGTGCTCCACGACAGACCAGCAGGGAGACATTTAGCTTGCAGCCTTCCCTCCGGAGCGTGCCTGTAATGTCAGACAGTAAGCCGCACGAAAGCCGGGTTCGTGGGCGATGTTTTCTCTCTTTGCAGTCCTCCCTACTGCGGCACTGACTTCAACAAACCCCCCCTGTGCTTGTTAATATCATTTACTTTCCTCCCTGTTTTAATGTTACAGCAGCGTATTGACTGAGGAATCATAATCGTAAGGCTTATGTATTGCGAGGAGTGTTGTATTGTCAGCAAAGCAGCCGGTACAAATTGGGTTTTCCATTAGGCAGATAATGCAATAAAAACCAGGACTGCGTTGAAGATTTATTGCTGTAACTCCTGAAAATGCACTCTGTTACTCACTGTCTGCAGCTATCGCCGTTTTTGGAACAGAGGGATTTTTGGCATCGTTGTAGGAAGGATGCTGCGTTGCGTTTAATGCCAAGCATCTCCGCACTGCAGCTGCCAGCCTGTGACATTGTACTGAGATTTACATTTGGTTTCTTTGGGCACATTTCAGGATTGACTGCTTTTTTTCATTCTGTGTACAGCACAGGCAGAGAAGTGATACATGTTAATGGTATAATTACAGACCAGTCGCTTCCTGCCTACTTACTAAACATTGCTTCTCTCCCGTCTGTTTTTTTTTTTTCCTGCACGTGTTTACTTTGTGAAAACCACGGTTTATGATACTTTATATTTATTTATTTTGAAAATGTAAATCGGCATACATTTTTGAGAAAGCCTTACTCAGGGGATCAACAGTGACATCACTCTGCCAAGCCTGGGATTCGAACCAGCCCCCATTGAAATCTGAGAATCGTGCGAAAGAAGCTGGAGTCGAGACCCCCGTGTTACCTGTGTAGAGAGTGACGGGGTTAGGGCCCGCGGATGGTGCACATGCTCTTACCTCCTGACCCCTGTCGCAGGAACGTGAGCTCGGCGGGGGAGGAGGCCCGGCGACGCATGCGGGAGTGCGAGGGACTCACCGACGCGCTGCTCTACGTCATCCAGACTGCACTGGGCAGCAGCGAGATCGACAGCAAGGTGTGTCCGCGGGGGGGGGGGGTTACATGTGGCCGTCTTCCAAAGGTTGCCATGGCTGCACCCTGAGAACGTATGGAAACATGGTTGCTTAGGTGATGCTTCTGTTCGTAGCGGCTGACGGTCTTTTACGCAGCAGTGTCCAGTAGCCCCTGCTGAAAGCTGATTGGCCCCTTCTCCTGTCACTCACTGATTCAAAATATATTATTGGCTAATGATAATGTTGGCCGCTCTGTATAAATTACCGCAGCCTGGTTAGCCTTAGGACACGTCATGCGATCTCTGGAGTAGGTGCTCATCCTACTCCAATCAAAATCCTCGTATATATTTAAAAGAACGTTTTTTTTATGTTCATATGGGCGTGAGTACCTTGTGACGAGCCCAGTGTCACTTAGAGATGAGGGAATGCCATCCATTTGTTTCCAGCTATATGCAGAATTTACCGCAACTAAGCGTTATGAATCAAGGGGTTAATAAAGTGGATAATGTGCAGTTTATATGCTCTAAATTGCACCTTATATAAGACCACTGTCCCCTTATGTATACACTCTCTGGCAATAATACCACCTACAACCTTCACATTCATTAAGTGTTTGCAGCTCTCTGTTGTTCGTGGTTTTAATTTTACATCAGCAACCTGAAAATCAATAACACATTCAATGTATAATTTAATGTGCAAATAATCATCGATTTCTCATTCAAGCTTAATATGGGTGTAGTGGGTGTAGCCAAAATCCTTCATGAAGGTTACAGATTACACCATGCAAATTACACCGTACAGATTGTACCATACGATTTACACCATGCAGATTATAACATACAGGTTACACCAGTGTTTCTCCAACCTTTTCTCGGGGACCCCTAGACAGTCCACATTTTTGCTCTCTCGTATTTTCCTGGGAGATGAGAGGGATTAAAAATCTGGAGGTCCCCGAGGACTGGTTGGAGAAACACTGGATTACACCATACAGATTACACCATGCAGATTACACTGTACAGATTACACTGTGCGAATTACACTGAGCAGATTACACTGTACAGATTACACCAAAGCTTGCATGGACACTGCATTATACCCCATGTCAAAGCAGATTAACATAGTTACAGGTCATTAATTAAACAGCCCTCGGTTGGTGCTCTCGCCGCAGACCATCGAGAACTGCGTGTGCATCCTGAGGAACCTGTCGTACCGCCTGGCCGCTGAGACCTCACAAGGCCAGCAGATGGGCACCGAGGAGCTGGACGGCCTGCTGTGCGGAGATGCCGGAGGCGGCGGGGGCGGGGGCAAGGACGGCGAGAGTTCGGGCTGCTGGGGCAAGAAGAAGAAGAAGAAGAAGGCCCAGGACCAGGTTGGGGGGGGACAGCGGCGGTGGGGCGGGGTGGGCTGTAAGTGGACCCGAGTGACACTAAAGAGTCACTTCACTTCAGTATCTACATGTAAGATTTTTTGTAAGAGAACAAAGAGATCCGTGGTCCTTGGACGGATCTGAAATATTTGACATATTTCACCATCTCTCACTCACTTAGCCTTTGCATTTTTGCTGATTTCCAGTGAGCGAGCAGCTGTTGGAATGGGGGGGGGGGTGTAGCGTCATTGCTGTACGGCCGGTTCTCAGGATCTGGAAACTTCCAGGCAGATTGGCAGCTGCCTCACGCAGAACCGTCGCAGCCTCTGGGCACGAGTGGCTTTAAAGCGACGTGGGTAGCTGGGCAGCTGGGCGGCTGTCCTGCGCTCCTAACTGGGAATGAGACGTCTGAGGGATGGGTGTGTTACCAGCACACGGTCTGCTGTCTGTCCCGGAAATAGATGTATGTGTTTTTTTGGACAGCTTGTGTGTTGTGTGTTCTCTCTGGGTTCAGTACCTGTCAGAACAGAAACCCTGTGATGCAGCAGCGGGTTTGAGTCACAGATCTGCTTTTGTCTTGCAGTTTTTGTTTTCTTTTTTGAGCTAAATGTGTACATGAGGCCTGTTGTGGGCATGAGGGTGAACAGAATCACGATCCTTGAGGACAAGAGGACAAAATAAGGCCTTTCGTTTGGCACGGGTGTGGAGACAGGGCCGGCGGTGGACAGGAACGACAACAGTCAGCCAATTTGGCATCAGCTCAGAATAGTTGGTATCATCCGAAAGAGGTGAGGGTATTGATGGCGTCTACGTCCTGGGCCGTCAGAGGGAACAGAACCCAGCTCTGCATGATCATGATAGGCCAGGCGGAGTCACCTGACTTCCCCCAGTCCTGGGAATTCCACTCCCCCCATCATTTACCCTACATCACTCGCAGTGCGGATACAGAGTCTTCCCTCATCAGGGATCAGAACCCAGTATCCCTCCGTGAGCCTGGGGGTACCGGACAATGGGACGCGCCGCCGTGTCAAGTGATCAGGCCCGTGTACGCGGTCACTCCTGGGGCTGGCGGCTGGGTGCAGGGACTGGCGCTGTCCTGAACGATCCATCGACGGCGGGTGAGCCCTGGAACATGTATATAGAAAGCAGCAAGGCCTCAGTGTGAGGGAGATGCTGTGTGGGTGACGAGGTGCTTAACAAGCTCCTGTCAGACATCGTTACTCTGAGGATGCAAAGACCCAACGGGCCTGTCCAGAAACACAAACCGGACATCGATGGGTACCAGCAGGGTATCAGCATGGTACCAGCAGGGTACCAGCGGCCCGATTTTATAAGTGTTTTAAAATAGGAAAAAGAGGTAATCAGTTGGGTTCTGCCTCTAAAATGACTTTAAAAGTGCTAAAAATCTGAAAACAATACCTTACTCTGGAGTCACACGACCCATCGGTGCCGCTGCTTGGGGGAGAGTGTGTGAAGCTATCACTGAAAGTCCCTCCTCTTGAGCTTCCTGATGGCCACATGAGCCAGCAGAGTGACTCACATATAACTTTCCTTTCATACCTGCACACTGCGCACATCGTCACCTTCGGACTCGGACTTTATTATTCACCTTTTCGCAGCACTGATGCCCCTGTGATGATTCATTTTACATTTGCCAAATTGGCAATAGGTTTGATTGAATGATGTGTGAGTGAATAAGCATGTGAGTGATTGGCGTGTGAGTGAATATGGATGGATGGATGGGTGGATGGATGGATGGGTGGGTGGATGGATGAATGGATGGGTGGATGGATGGATGGAGAGAGACTGCCATGTGTGCCTGCACTCTGGAGGGTGCATCTAGCGTCTCTGTGGGGAGAGGGAACCAACACATCCCATTGCCACTATTACCTATTATTATTATTAATCTCATATTGTTTACAAAGGTTTCTACTCTAAAGGCCTTAATCCTGCCATTTCAGGCGGCGCCACAGTCTTGGCTGAAGTGCCTGAATCCGTGCCTGACTCTCTGGGGTATAAGAGCTTGCCCTTAGGAAGTTAAACCCCCAGGGCCTGTCGAACAAAACAAAACACCTTGTCGCTAAGATGATCCCCACCTCTCCCCCCTCCCCCGTCCCTGATTTCCAGTGGGATGGTGTGGGGCCCCTCCCAGAGACCGCCGACCCCCCTAAAGGCATCCAGATGCTGTGGCACCCCTCCATCGTCAAGCCCTACCTCACGCTGCTGTCCGAGTGCTCCAACGCCGACACACTAGAGGGCGCCGCCGGGGCACTGCAGAACCTGGCTGCCGGGAGCTGGAAGGTAGGCCCTACGGTCAGTGTCCGCCCCGCCCCGCCTCGCCCCGCGCAGCCGCCTCAGCACCCACATCAGCGTAGACCACCATCACTGACATCACCACTGCACTGATGCAGGCCTAAATGGTGTGAGAAGGGACAGTGAGAAACAGTTACTCTCTGCTTTGTTTGCTGTAGTAGTGACCAGTAGACAGGGTCTAGAGCAGCCCTGACATGCGGTGAATGCAGTTTTTAATGTAGATTTTCAGGCTATTTTCATATTTATTTGAGAAGGCCAAATAAAACGACACATGAATTAAAGGTCAGATTAACCAATTTCTGTCCCAGGATTCCTTTCATACGTAAGTGGGAGGTGGATGAAAGTACCTTTTAGCTATAATGAAAGGCTTGTGTGTCTCTCTGGTCAGACCTGTGGTCTGAAACCTCCCCGTGTAGGTGTCTGAATCCCGCTTCCGCTCCCTGCGTGTTGAGTTTGCATGTTCTCCCTGTGTGGCATGGCTTTCTCGCTCGTACTGTACTTTCCTTCAAAAGACATGTAGCTAAGCTAATCGGCATCATTAAACCACCCATCGTGCCATCGATGGACTGCTATCCCCTCCCTGCCTGGGATTGGTTCCACGCCCCCCATGTGACCCCACACTGGCAAGCTAATTGGAGGATGGATGAGTGGCTTGTTAACTAAACAAGCTAACACAACACATGGGCCCCCCTTCACCTTCCTGCATTTTCTGCCCCCCATATTCAAGGCCTGTTCACATGATCCCACCCCCACCCCCCATGAATGTTAGAAACATGTTGAAATTCACAGTGTCACATACATTAATCGGGCATGTTCACTGCACAGCCTCAGGAAAGTGGTCATTCAGGGAAAAAAGGTAGGCAGTCACATCAGAAAGGCATGTTTCATACCCGAAGCAGAGTTTTACCTTTGAGTATTCTGAGGCTTGGGGGGAGGAGGGCCGTCGAGGGCCTGTCAGAGGGATCAGGATGGGGGGGAGTTTGTGAAATGTCAGAGGATCACTCTGCTTATAGGAGTTTGGTTAACCATGAAAATAACAAGCGGAGCGTGGAGCACTGAATTGGTTGATGGCCGTCACATGGTCCTGCCTGCTCAGCGGACGTGGCGTTGGAATGAGGTACAATGAAAAGTGATGGTGATGGCTGAGTGAAGCGGAGATATGACAGAGCAAGCGATATTATCCAAGTATGGAAGGATACACACACGCGCGCACACACACACTCACGCGCGCACACACACATACTCTGGCCTGGAGGACAGAGGTTCCCCAGGGCTCTGAATGGGCCTGGTGCACTGGCCTCACTGTTTTTGCTTCATGCTGGCAGGAAAACACTGCAATTTGTTCAGCATAAGGGAAACAGGGGACAATTGTTGAACAAACTTTTCACATTACGACTGACCCCAACTACAAGTCCCTTGACTTCACCTGGATTAAGGCTCCCAGCAACAACTCTGACACTTATCAAACATGTCGGACTCAAAGTACACAGATTATTGAGTAAATAAGTATGGATTTGGTTCAACAATTGTCCCTGGTCTCCCAGAGTGCCATGTTATGACTTCATCATCTTCCCATGATGCTGAAGGCCGCTCTTGATTTGCCCCCCCTCCCTCACTGCAGTGGTCAGTGTACATTCGCGCGGCCGTGCGCAAGGAGAAGGGCCTGCCCATCCTGGTGGAGCTGCTGCGGATAGACAATGACCGCGTGGTCTGCGCCGTGGCCACCGCACTCAGGAACATGGCGCTGGATGTGAGGAACAAGGAGCTCATCGGTAAGCTGGCCTGGGGGAACCCGTTCACTGTTTACTTCAGAATCAGAAACAGAATCAGAATCATCGGTAAGCTGGCCTGGGGGAACACGATCACTGTTTACTTCAGAATCAGAAACAGAATCAGAATCATCGGTAAGCTGGCCTGGGGGAACCCGTTCACTGTTTACATCAGAAAGGCATGTGGAGCACAGACGAACATACATATTGCACAAACGGACAAGGTTCAAAGACGGTACACAGAGACAGAATCAGAAACAGAATCAGAAACAGAATCAAAATCATCGGTAAGCTGGCCTATGTGAACACCCTCTGAACTCCGTCCAGTGAAGCTTGTTCATCCACCGCTGTGTGCTTGAGAAACAGATTTAGCAAAAAAATAAAATGATGTTGTAGAATTACAAGTCAGGTGTTAAAATGGACAATAGGAGAGAGAAAACAGTGATTAGAGCAGTAATACAAGCTAATAACCCTGTTACAGGGCAGGAATGGGGGTGGTCTAAAGGCAAATGGCCACCCACCCCCCCTCACCAGTCCAGTAAAGATAGAAGGAGGGTGCTGAGTGTGGCGCTCAAGTGCCTGAGCAGAGCTTTCTGCTAAGTCCTTTATTAGGCCAGCTAATAAGATTTCGGATTTAGATTCAGGTAGAACCTGAGCCTGTCTCTGAGGCTTTAGAACCTCGTCAGATGGTTGTCCTGGGAACTGGGAAAATATTACAGTCCGGACCCCGATATAGTACGATAATATGTACCAGAAATGTAAGAAATACATTAACTGGAGCTGTTGAAAATATTTACGAGCCTTTTATTTGATATATTTTTCCATTTTTTTTCCTCCTAAGAAAACAAGGGATTTTAAGGTCTTTTTTCAGACGTGGCCTTTGGTCTTTGAAATTCTCTTCATGGCAATGAATAGAGAATAGGCTATTGATCTTTTGCTCATAAACTTGGTTTCCTCCTTGGCCCTGGGAGTTGCCATGGCAACCGCCTTCCTCGAGCCTGTCTCCGATTTCGCTGGCAGTGGAAAACTTTTGAGTGTGTTTCAGTTTTTTGTCTCTTTTTTTTTGTGGGCTTTGAGAGCTACCATCTCACTGGAAGTCTGCAAAGACTGAGAGTGGAGGGTCAGTCGTAAAGACGCTACATGGAAGCCTTTACAAGCTCGGTAACAGCAACATGCGTTGGGGTATTTTGTTTATTTTTGCACAAATGCGTCTTAGTCCACCATATCGCCGAAGGAACACAGTAACACTGTTCTCGCTCTTGATTTAATCAGAAAGCAGCAGGAAACTTTAAAGGCTGAACACATTAGCTAGTTGTCGCAAGCCCTGTCGCAGCCTTGGCATGCCAACCAGTGAAGCAGAGGCGAGCTCCGTTACGATGTTGTCTTAATTGCCCTTCACTTTCCCCACGATGCAGCTGATTGCCTGTCGTCAAGACATTGGGGGCCAAATGTAATTTGAGAGGGAAGACACTCTTCCTTAGCCATCCAGCAATCCAGCGGCGATCACTGATTAAGATTCCCAGAGGAGTCCACTCCTCCTACTCATCGGTTGATTACAGGTCGGCAATAAGTCAGACAAAAGAAGGCTTGATCGGGAGGGGGGCAGAAGAGGTAAAACCGGGATTCATTTTCTTAACTTCACTGGTTTAATATGTGCCGATATACTTTCAATACTGATGATAATTTCCTCATCGTTGCCAGTTTCCTTGAGTCAAAACATATATGGGAGGGCCAGGTTTTCGCTTGTCATCGACATGCGGGAGCATCTTAGCAGGCATTTTCTTCCCTCGGTGGAGGGACTGTGTCTAGCCAGATACCCAGGCCTTCCAGGGGTCAGACTTCTGCATGAGCTACCCCCCACCCCAGCCTTATCTTCACTTCAGGAGCTGCTAGAGGTTTCATTGAAATCCTGAGAGGAAATGGATGGCGGGATTTGGTTTTGTCCTTATTTGGGACAACAGAGTGCTTTGGACTGGGGTGTGTCTCTTAATCCTCATATCATGAGTGTTTCTCAATACCAAGAACACAAAGATCTTGGCAAGACCGGTCATTGACTCCCAAGAACGAACTTGGTGTGCAGTGAATCAGGGGATTGGCCTTGTTTGACGAGGATGCAACTGATGTATCCTTAACATTTAGGGTGGTGCAAGAATGACATCATGGGATTCCTACCATCCTCTGTACTTCTGTTCTTCGTACCGAAACTGGCAATATGGGGGGCAGCAATGGAAGATGATGTCAAACGGGTATACAAGAACACAAGTATGGTCAAGAATGCATATTGAGGAACACCCCCATGTCTCCACTGTCACCTTTGACATTTTGTAACCAAAGTTGCTAATGTTTTAGTGCCAGCTACATAATGAACTCATATATTTAACTCTTATTTATGTTTGCACTAGTTAACATTGATATTCATGATGGTTGTTTGTATATTTTACTTTATATCAGTAACTTTAATAACATTGATAGCTAGATAGCTAGCTGGCTAACACCATTGCTAATTGTGAACGTAGAATGACATTAGTTTGTATTTTGTTGACACTGACATATTTGCCTCACTGACAGCAAAACATTAAACCATTCGTGGTTTATTTGTGGTGCTAAGGGTGTCTCATTGTATTATAGTAAAGTAGTTTCTCAGAAAATGCATTTTTTTCACACTCCTGAAATAATGGATTTTTGGAGAAATATGTTTGTGTTTCTGTACGCATCTGTGTGCGTGTCTTGTGCATTTCTGCAAAAGAAAATGCCAAAAGAAAATAATCCAACACTTCACTCATCACTAATCCGTCTCGGCCAGATATCGTTCCAGTGTAGGCTCTGATTTTTCAGCAGACAGCCTTACTCTGTTTCTCTTGAATGCAGTGCCTTTTCTTGAAAAACAGTGACGTCAGACTCCCAAGTCTGGTATCTTACAACTGTACACTGAGAGAGGCAGTGGCTTTTGGCTCCATCAGTCACTGCAGCACAGTGGGATATCAAACAGATGCTGTGGTGGCCGTAAGCTCTGAACCACGGGCATGTTTAATGAAGCTGCCCACTTTAGCCGTGGGTAGAGCTTTATAATGGCTCATTTTGGTTGTTAAATGTCCTGCCCAGTGTTTGCCTTTAGCCAGACTTTGATTAAATTGTCTAAGGAGGTGAAAACATAGCAAAACATTAAAACGACTTCATTTTTTTCAATAGTTAGTCAGCAGTTTTTTCCACCTATAAGTTTCTACATGCTGTAGATGTATCTGCAGCCATTTGCAGGCAAGGTTGAGTCTATTTTTTCAGGATGGATTCCTTAGACTTACTCCCTACCGCCAAACATCTGTGAGTTTTTTTTTTTTGTGCCAGAGTGCAGTGGAAAATTATCTTTTCAAAGTCAGTCCCAAGGGTCATGGGCCAGGGAAGCAGGATAAGAGACATGGGTTGGGGGTTGTGGGGGGGGGGGGGGGGGGGGTGCATGAGATTCTGTATGCTCTGGAACTCCACACAGGGTTTCTTGCTTCAAGCTTTTATCTCCCATCTCTCGGATTCTCCCTGACTCTGTAACGCCGTCCCATTCTCAGTGCCACATGACCTCTATCACCTGCGGTGTATCCGAGGCAGTACCACAAACTCACAGTAGATAAGCATGGCAAACCTGTCAATCACACGGAGCAATCTCTGGTTGCTCAATGGAAGCTTTGTGCTTTCACAAATTCACAAGTGCTGTTCCTATTAAAAGAGGCTTACTGGAGAATCGGCATTAATATTTCAGGATTGTGACAATTTTTATTCTGTTTGTGGCATGGTTGTCATTACAGTACTATGCTAAGAGCTATTGTTGTGTTAAGAAGCTCTTAGTGTACCGAGAAGCTTTTGATGTGCTGTGAACCCATCAGTGTATTGAGAAACTTTTATCTCCCCTCTGAGAAACCAGCAGCATGTAAGAGAAGCTCTTGGTGTGCTGGGAATCGGTGTGTTGAGAAGCTCTTGATATGCTCAGAACCTATCAGTGTGTTGAGAAGCTCTTTGTGTGCAGTGAACCCATCAGCTTATCATGAAACTCTTGGTATGTTGACAACCCATAAGTGTGTCGAGAAGCTCTTGGCATGCAGAGAACCCATCAGTGTGTTGAGAAGCTCTTGGTATGCTGAGAACCAATTAGTGTGTTGAGAAGCTCTTGGTATGCTGAGAAGCCATTACTGTTTTGAGAAGTTCTTGCTGTGCTGAGAACCCCTCGACGTGTTGAGAAGCTTTTATCTCCCATCTGAAAAACCAACAGCATGTAAGAGAAGCTCTTGGTGTGCTGAGAACCCATCAACTTGTAGAGAAGCTCTCGGTATGGTGAGAAGCCATCAATGTGTTGAGAAGATCATTGTGTGTTGAGAACCCATCAACGTTTTGATAAACTTTTGGTGTGCTGAGAAGCTCTTGGTATGCTGAAAAGCCATTGTGAGCTGAGAACTTAACAACATGTTGAGAAGTTCTTGGTGTGCTTCTCAACACTCTGATGGTTTGTTAGCACACCAAGAGCTTCTCACCATGCTGATGGCTTCTCTCAGCATTTTAGAACCCTAATTCGTAGCAGGTGAACCAGTTGCTTGCCGTCTTTCATTACCTCTGACTGATATCAGCAGTCCCAGTTCATGCAGATTTAAAATCTTGCAGCCAGAGGTATTGGTGTTGGTGTAGGTGTAGGTGTAGGTGTTGGTGTAGGTGTTGGTGTAGGTGTTGGTGTGCCCAGAACAGCACCATCCAGTGCCAGATTTATTGCCTTCTCTGGCAATTTGTTTTCACACTATAATATTTTTCATGGGTTTGTGTTTTAAAAATCCCTGTAATAATTTACAGGGCTCAAATTATGAGGAACAGCTTGGGGTATGAAGCACGCTTGCCGTAAAGAGCATTTGTTAGTGCTCCTTCAATTTGTGTGTGCTGTGAAAATTTCACTGCCCATCTGGCACCCAGAGGCAGCTTGCATAGAGTTACATGTTCCTGCCGCTGTAGATTTTCTGTCCCCCTGTTCACAA